AGTTCTGATAAGAGCTGTTCTTGAAAAAGAGCCGTTTCTGTCAGAGCTCTCTCAGCCCCACCTACCTCACAGGGTGTCGGTTGTGGGGAGAGGAAGGGAAAAGAGATTGTAAGCTGCTCTGAGACTCCTTTGGGTAGTGAAGGGCAAGTTATAAATCCAATCTCTTCTTCTCTCTTCTTCTTGGTTCAGTTCCGTTTTTAGACTTCTGGTTGGTTCTACAACCCTAATTCTTATTTCATTAAGATGGGCCGCCGTGAGTCTGTCTGCAGCAGCCAAAAACAGCCAGAGTCCAGGAGCACCTTAAAGATGAAGAAAATTTGTGGCAGGGGAGGAGCTTTCGGGACTCACGGCTCACTTCTTCAGTATTTCAAGAAGTGAGCGGTGGCTCATGAAAACTTATCCCCGGCACAAATTTTGTTCGTCTTAAAGGTGCTCCAGGACTCTTGCTCTTATTTCATGGTTTATTGAATGTCCCATCCTGTCGATTGTCATGTCTCACTCTGTGTAAAATCCAAGTCTGAAAGGAGAACTATACATAATGTCAATAAAACAAATGTATTAAAAAACCAGTCTTGCATTCGAGTAAATACTGTACCACTAAATGCCTTTCCTCTAAGGGAATTACTCTCCTGTAATTTCTACTGTGTCAGGAGCAGGGGTCATTTTGTAAAAAAAGAGGTGCAGGAACTCATTTGCATAACTCATTTGCATACGCCACACTCCCTGGCAAAGGGCAGGCATGCAAGCGTGACTGGGTTCCCTGCCTGATCTTCTCCAGGTGGAGAAGATCGGGCAGGGAACTCAGGCATGTTTAGAATGCCTTTCTCTCCCTTCCCCATCTGGGGAAGGGAAAGAAAGGCATTTAAATCCCCCCAGGTGCTGGTGGTGGGGCTCTGAAGGCCTTCCCTGGCCCATCCACCTGCACAGGCAGGCCAGGAATGGCGGCGGTGGGGGGGTGGGCTCCTTACTGCCGGTGCGCCGCTCCACTGTGTTCCGGCAGGAAATGACCCCTGGTCCAGAGCATAATGCCTAGTACCTCCTGGAAGAGGAACACAGCCTCAGTGAGAGATATCTAGAAACACGATCCACAGCACGAAAATGGCTTTGGTTCTCTGCAAAGTTTCTCAGAGGAGCGTCCTCTGCCAGCTGCTTACCAGTTCTAGAATAGGACGCAATTGTCAGGCATTTCTGGGCATTCTGGGGGCAAGACGACATCCGGAGGCAACCCCAGTTAGACCTCTCCTCTTGACACGTGAAGCACATCATGGAATGGGCTGCAAAGGGGAAGGGAAAAGAACAGATTGGCTCTAGTTTGACTGGCAGAGGAGTTTCGGACTCAGTGGTTCACCCCCCATGAAGCCAGGAGATGGGAAATGAATTTTGGCACCCTTCTTGAAACGGCCGCCGAATTTTGCCCAGCTTTTACATTCCCATCTCGCTTTATGCCCACAGGATTGACTGAAGTCCAGGGACATCAGCAGGCCTCCGCTGCACGACAGAAAGCCAGCTGGAAACCTTGGGTGACGTCACAGATCCAAAGCTCTCTTGAGGAAGAGGAAAGGGCAGGGTGACTTCGTGGCAACAGACAAACAGCGACAATAACAAAAACCAAGAGCCAGTGCAGTACAGTGATTAAGAGTGTCAGACTATTATCTAGGAGACCCAGGTTCGAATCCCCACTCGTGCCATGGAGCCTTGCTGGGTGATGTTGGGTCAGTCAACATACTCTCAGCCTAACCTACCACGCAGGGTTGTTGTGAAGATAAAATGGAGGAAAGGAGAATGGGATAAGCTGCTTTGGGTCCCTATTGTGGAGAAAGGCAGGGTACAAAATTACTTTCATAGCAGGGTTTTTCTTTTTTTGAAGAAAATTTTGAATTGTACAGGAATATGTGTTCAGAAATGCCCCCCCATCCTAAAATTCACCCCAATAATTCAGCTATTGGGACTACAGTCTGTGTAAGAATTGGAACTCAGCTGCAAACTCATAGCAAGGAAAGGTGCTGGGGGTGTGAGTTACAAAGTAGTTTAGTGCTTACAGACAAAAATGGCTCTGGCTGAAGAAAGAACAAAAGGCTCACCACTTTTACACCTTGCTAGATTGTCAAACTTACAGAAAGAGAGAGCAACTTGAGAAGCAGAATGACCAGGTCTGACCAGAAAGGGGGCAGACTATCAAGAGGAGATTACATATTCTCGGGATCTGAGAAAAAAGCTATCTTTCAGCTTTGGGTTTGTGGCCAGGGAGGTTCAAGCCATGAAGGACTAAGTCTTTACCTTGGGACTCTATCTTGACCACTTGGCAAGGGGCAATGGGGAGAAATCCAGATTCTGAGAACTAAGATAATGAAGGGCTACAACTTCAAGAATTACCAGCATATCCCAAGTAGATGTTTAGAATAAGTATAGAGTTTAGGGCTTAGAGGACTGCTTGTTTCCACCTTTTCTTTATATCTTTGCTCAGGCTGGTGCTTGAACAGACCATATGTACTCTTTTTATTTTTGTTCATTAATGCTCCAAGCAGTGTTCCCTCTAACCTGAGTTAGTGTGAGCTAGCTCACAGTTTTTTAGGCTCCAGCTCACACATTTTTGCCTTCGCTCAGGAAGGAGGGCTCCAGAGCAAACTAATTTATGCAGTGGCCAAATTGCTTGCTCACAGTTTTAATGCCAGTAGTCACAAAGTAGAATTTTTGCTCACAAGACTCCACGGCTTATAGGGAGCATTGGCTCCAGGCCTCATCCCCGTAAACAGAACACAGCTATTTGGTCTTGCTATCCAAAGAGTGGGAAAGGGAAGGGACAGTGGGTCATACTGCCATTCTTTAAGCATGTTAGTTCGAAATTACACCTGATCATCCCCTGTACAAATTAAGTGGGAGATAAACAACTTAAAAGACGCTGAACTGCAGGCTGTGGAGGGTCAGTAGTTCAGCAGTTCAAGACCTGAGTGTGCTGCATGACGGAGTGAGCTCCCGTCTCTAGTTCCGGCTCCTGCCAACCTAGCAGTTCGAAAGCAAGAAATTGCAAGTAGATAAATAGGTACCGCTTCGGGGGGAAGGTAACAGCGTTCTGTGTGCCTTGGTGTTTAGTCATGCCGGCCACATGATCATGGAAACGTCTTCGGACAGCGCTGGCTCTTCGGCTTTGAAACGGAGATGAGCACCGCAACCCTAGAGTCAGACTCGACTGGCTTTCAAGCAAGGGAACCTTTTTAAAGAAACTAAGCAGAGCTTCTAAGTGGCGACACACGTACAGAGCACTAGATGTACAAATCCATCTAGTAAGAGAGACTTGCAGATTGGCTGATGACAACAGTGTGTACCCAGTGAGAAGTCTGGTACATCCTGGAGAAAGGAAAAGGAACGGTGCCACTGGGTGGGGACCCGGAACAACTCCAGGATCTAACAACAGAGTCTCAGTTTTCTAAGTGTGTAATATGATTTGGAATGGCGTATTTAAATGTATTCTGCTGGTCTGGGGACAGGGAAAATAACACAGCCAATCGTCCCATTCCAAAGAAAAAGATGCTGCAAGGTCGCCTCCATGCTTGAGAGGAGAGGAGAGGAGAGGAGATGGATAGAACAATTCTACAATTAAGGATACATCAGTCTCCAATTCTGACACATTTATTACCTTGGCTATGTTCCCCCCCCCTTGAACCCAAACAGTTGACAGCATAAACTAAGCTTATGATTCGTTAAATCTGTTTAAAGCATCTTTGTTATTCTGCATGCTAATTCACTGCCCACCTTCTATATGTATGACTGTTGTTTCTATTTCGTTGTGTCTGAAGAAGTGAGTGTGTACACAAAAGCTCACGCCTTGAATAAAACTTTGTTGGTCTTAAAGGTGCCCAACTGGACTCTAAATTTGTTCTGCAACGGCAGGATCTGTCCAGTGTCCTGTAACCCAAGGGAACCGGGCTTGTGAGTCTGCACAATATGTGATTGTAATTCAGTGCAGCTCACTTGAGCTTTTTCTTGGAGTTTGCATAGCTGCACATAGTGGGAGAGAGTCCTTAGAACTGGGCATCTGCCTGCATTAATGCAGGAGACTGGAAATTTTGCACAAATGTCCTCTTGGAACAGTACATTTTCCCCCTTGGTTGTATCTTTTAAAAAATGGCTTGTGGGTTGATGGCAGATACGAATTAACTGTTAATGGCTTTTTACTTAACAGCCTGTGGGGGGCAGATTTGCTTCAAGAAGTTTCACACGTTTTTAAAAGCAACGCAAGAACTACTGTAACAGATAAAGTCATAGAAGTATTTATAGCAAGATGTAAAGCAATTTTGCGGAAGCCAAGAGCACAGATATTTCATTGGATCATACTTTTTTTTTTTAACCAAACTAAAAGAAGGGAAAACATCATTCATTGAGAAACTGAGTGCAAAGAAACCCCCCCGCTTGCAGGGAGGGTGGTATAGAAGTCTAATAAAAGAAAGAAAGAAAGAAAGAAAGAAAGAAAGAAAGAAAGAAAGAAAGAAAGAAAGAAAGAAGAAGAGATTGGATTTATACCCCGCCCTTCACTGCCCAAGGGTGTCTCAGAGTGGCTTAGAAATTCCTTTCCCTTTCCCTCCACACAACAGAGACACCCTGTGAGGTCGGTGGGGCTGAGAGAGCTCTTGACAGAAACTGCTCTTTTTCAAGAACAGCTCTTATCAGAACTACGACTTGCCCGAGGTCATCCAGCCAGATGCGAGTGGAGGAGTGGGGAAAAGAAAGAAAGAAAGAAAGAAAGGAAGAAAGAAAGAAAGAAAGAAAGAAAGAAAGAAAGAAAGAAAGAAAGAAAGAAAGAAAGAAAGAAAGAAAGAAAGAACATCGATTAAAGCCGGAAGCGCAGCAACTAACCCACCCAGATCAACTTGGGGTTGTTTTTTTGTTTGTTCCCCAATCCTTCAACACCAATCTTCTGCTATCTGCTTGGGTGGAAAGGACTTTTTTGAACTTAGGTCCCAGCTGCTTTGTAATATAACAAAGTCTTCGGAAAAGCACTGCATGGAGGGAGGAGGGTAGCAGGATCGTGGCCACTGCTCCACTCATGTGTATGCATGTTTCTGCAGAAACAATATCTGGAACTGGAGTCCGGAATGTGTTCCAGAGTTTCTTGTTCGCAGGTGCAGCCCCTTGTATGACCTACTGCGACAGATCTTGGAATAACAGCCAGCATAAGACAATCTGGGGGTGCCAGCGTCCAGGTGGGACCTGGGGATCCCCCAGAATTCCAGCTCATGTCCAGACGACCGGGATCAGCTCCCCTGGAGGAAATGGCTGCTTTGGAGGGTGGACTCTGTGGCCTTGTACCCCGCCGAAATCCCTGTCCTCCCCAGGCTCCATCCCCAAATCTCCAGGAGTTTCCCAACCTGGATCTGGCAACTCTGCCTCCCTGTCTCCTCCATTCCCCGTTGGTGGCCAGAGGGGACACAGTAATGCTATGTTCACCCCGAGGCTGGATTATTGCAATGCTCTCTACATGGGGCTGCCCTTGGGGCAACTCCAGAAGCCGCAGCTGGTGCAGAATGCCACGGCCAGGTTGCTGATGGGTCTCTCCATGAGGGAACACATCCAACCTGTGCTGAGGTCGCTGCACTGGCTGCCAATAGCATTCCAGATACGCTTCAAGGTGCTTTAAAGACCTGAATGGTCTGGGGCCTGTCTACCTGAGGGACCACCTTTCCCTGTATGTTCCCCCAAGGGCAGTGAGATCCGAGTCACAAAATCACTTGGTCCACCCTGGCCCTCGGGACGCTAAGCTAACATCAACAAGAACTAGGGCGTTTTCCCTAGCTGCACCGGCGCTATGGAATCAGCTCCCAAACGAAATCCGAGCTCTGCGGGATCTTCAACAATCCCGTAGAGCAGTAAAGACCGAGCTGGTCCGGCAAGCGTTTTAACAGTTCTGGCCACACTGACCATTCCACATAAGCCCTAGCACTTTATAACAGATGGCCGCCACGTTCTACTTTTAATAAGCTGTATTTTGATATTGCACTGTATTGTTTTAGACCTGATATTTGGTATTAATTGTATACTGGTTTTTAACTACTGTAAGCCGCCCTGAGCCTCCTAGATGGGAGGGCGGGGTAAAAGTCCAATGAATAAATAAATAAATATAACCTCAATAGACACTCCCGAGAAAGGGACAAAACCCCAAGGGCTTACCTATCTCCATAAACAGACCTGCTGCGACCAAGATAGCCAAGAAATACTTGCTCTTCATGTTCTCTTCCTGCCTTGCTCTGAAGTGGCAGCTTCGAAGTGATGTACGAGAACTCTCTGGCCACTTTAACTGGGATCACAGTTATAATGTTTACGGCCTGGGCGTCACCCAAGACCAATAACGATAGGCGTGCGCTCTCTAGGAGTGTGGGTAGATGAGGAAAGAGTCCAAAGAGATGTCTCTTTATCTTCTGTTTTGGCCTCTGGTGGGAGTGACAGGATATTTGAAGCAAGGCCTCTGTTGTGTATTGAGCCAGAGTCATCCCTGAACAAGTACCTGGATCTGGGTCCCGGTCACACGGAGATTTTGCCGCGCGAAAGGCACGGATGTCGGGCGGATTTTTGGGGCGCGATCACACTGCAACATCTGGGAAGTGTAGCACACCCGTGGCCAACCCGTGGCGTCCCGCCGAAGATGCGGAGTTAAAAAGTACCACGGAAAGTCCACTAGTATCCGGAAAACGCGGGGCAGGGGCGGGCATCTGATTGCGGGAGCGCTAGTATCCCATGGCATCTGGCGCCTGTCCATGTCCCATCACAAACCAGATGTTTTTCGTAAGCGCATGCGCACAAACATAAAACTGAAAGCAGTGCTGCTCCGCGGAACTGCGCATGCGCACAAACGCGAAACACTTGTATGATCACGCCGCTTCTTTGCCACGCTGCAGCATCGCCGTGTGATCACCAGCTAACAGCCGAAGCACGGAGACTCGGGGGACCGTGTGATCGGGCTACCGCACTTAATTTTGCTCCGTGGCGAACAGCCGCACCTCCCCCCCCCGCGTTGTCTGGCCCGTGTGACCGGGGCCCTGGTTGAATTTATTTTCCCTGAACAATAGCTTACTACGATCCTGGAGTAGACCAATAGAGAAGCAGTATTATGTAAGTGGCCTATTGTTGGGAGTGGGGTGTGTTTGGGGTGTGGTGACTGCATGCTTAAAAGCAGGGCCACTGCCCTGGATTTTGTCGTGTAGCGTTCCTGAAATCACTCAGTAGAGTAGAGCTGTTTTACTGCAATGTGTCCAGAACCCAGGATTTAACAGCCTCAATATCCCTCCTACCCCAGGCCGGAGGCAGCTCCTGAACCACATATGGCGGGCCCACCACGGATCAGTACGTCTCCTAGTTTTGCCACAAAAGTTTTTTTTTTTGGGGGGGGTTATCAAGTATCCCGGGGGGGGAATGTGGAATATTTATTTATTTATTAAATTGTTTATTCATTTATTTATTTTGGGGATTTTTAATTCCGTCCTCCCCAAACAGGTTCCGGGAGGATCACAACAAATTGAGTCAAAGACACGCTGCAATAAAATCACGTTAAAATCATAAAAACGATAAACGATAAAATGGGTAGCAGCCATGTAAATCTGCTGGGGCCAGAAGGTGGGAACTGCTGGGCCCTTTTAGCAGGTTGGGAACTAAAGCAGTGAGGCCAACTGAGACACACGAAAGCTCAAACCCAGAATTAAACTTTGTCGGTCTTAAAGGTGCCACTGGACTCAAACTTTGTCCTGGTAGAACGGAAGCGATGCAAAGATTACATCGGCTGGAGTAAGAAGTATGCTTTTGTATCTTTTCTAGTTAGGAAGGCTTCTTTGGCCATGGCAGAATAAAGTTTGGTGTGCTGGTTAAATGTGCAGACTCTAATCTGGGAGAACCGGGTTTGATCCCCCACTCCTCCACTTGCACCTGGCTGGATGACCCTGGGCAAGCCATAGTTCTGTCACAGCTGTTCTCTCAAGGGCAGTTTCTGTCAGAGCTCTCTCAGCCCCGCCTACCTCACAGGGTGCCTGTTGTGGGGAGGGGAAGGGAAGGGAGTCTGTAAGCCACTCCGAGGCTCTGAGTGAAGGACGGGGTATAAATCCCATCTCTTCTTCCTCTTTTTCTTAGAAATTATTCCCTGCCTCAGTGTGACTATTGGATTAAGAACCCCTCACTTGGGAACCAAATTTTTCACTGCCAACCCCACCTGGAGGTTGGCAACCCTAGGGGGCACAGGTTGCAAAGGCCCATTTTAAGCTTACAGGCAAGGGTGTTGTAACTTCTAGGTTCCCAGTCTCTAGGTTCCCAGTCTCTAGGTTCCCAGTCTCCAGAGGCGAAGTGGAGTTCTCCTGGAACTGCAGCTGACCTCCAGACGATAGAGATCAATTGCCCTGAAGGATGGACTCGATGGGATCACGTCCCTGCCGGTCTCCTTCATCAGCCTCCTTGGTTCCCTCTGCCTCTCAGGCTTAAATTCTGCATCTAGCATTTGCTCCGTTGTTTTACCAAACCCACAATGGAACAGAAAAAGATGCGGCTCAAAACCACATTCAAATACCCCAGGCCAACGCCGTACTGACTGCAGAGTCACCCCTGAACGGCCATAAATCTATGCAGACGGCTACCACAAAACCGAGAGATCAAAGGAAGTGAAACCCGGCGTGCCGTGTGGAGGAGGCCACAATAAAATCCAACAATCCATCAAAGTGAAAGTAGTATGCAATGTAGAGGGGAATATCTGTTCCAGCGTGGGTTTGATAAAGCGGCAGAGTGAATGCAAGTGATGCTCTGTCATCTTGGTGCTTGGGGGGGTCAACAGTGGGAGGGCTTCTAATGTCCTGGCCCCACTGGTGGACCTCCTGATGGCACCTGGTATTTTTGGCCACTGTGTGACACAGAGTGTTGGACTGGATGGCCCATTGGCCTGATCCAACATTGGCTTCTCTTATTATGATCTGTCGGTCTGGGGCAAGGGATGCTCTGTATTCTTGGTGCTTGGGGGGGGGGCAACAGTGGGAGGGCTTCTGGTGTCCTGGCCCCACTGATGGCCCCTGGTATTTTTGGCCACTGTGTGACACAGAGTGTTGGACTGGATGGGCCTTTGGCCTGATCCAACATTGGCATCTCTTATGTTCTTATGTAATGCTAGATGCAGAATGGGCCTTGATCTGGTAACAGAGTCCCACTTTTATGACAAATGATATCCTGCCATGACATCCGAACCACAAACTACGCTTTTCTTTCTCCGTTACAAACAAGGATTCCAAACTGTGACTCGAGGGTTTGTGATCTGGGGTTTTAGGGAATGAAACCATAGATGGTGATTCGGACCAGTGTTCCCTCTACGCTGAGTTAGTGTGAGCTAGCTCACAGTTTTTTTAGCCTCCGGCTTACACGTTTCTGTCTTGGCTCGGGAAGGAGGGCTCCAGAGCAAACTAATTTACGCAGCAGCCAAATCGCTCGCTCACAACTTTAATGCCAGGAGCTCACAAAGTAGAATCTTTGCTCACAAGACTCCACAGTTTCGAGGGAGTGTTGATTCAGACCGAAACTCTAGTTGTACTTGAAAATACAACTCTTGAGAACAGGGTTGCCAGGTCCCCACTGGTCACCGATGGGAGATGGGGGGGTAGGGTCGCCAGCTCCAGGTTGGGAAACTCCTGGAGATTTGGGGGATGGAGCCTAGGGGAAGACAGGGACCTCAGTGGGGGACAAGGCCATAGATTCCACCCTCCAAAGCATCCATTTCCTCCAGGGGAACTGATCTCTGTAGTCTGGAGATGAGCTGGAACACCCCCAGGGCCCACCTGGAGGCTGGCATCCCTCCGTGGTTATAGTGCAGGATTTGGGAGACCCAGATTTGAATCTCACCTCTGCCCTGGAAGCTTACTGGGTGGCCTTGGGCCTGTCACACACTCTCAGCCTAATCTACCTCACAAGGTTTTTGTGAGGGTAAAATGGATGAGCAGAGAATGACGTAAGCCGCTTTATGTCCCCAATGAGGAGAAAGGTGGGGGGATGAATGAAGTAGATAGATAGACAGACAGACAGATAGATGATGATAGATAGATAGACAGACAAACAGATAGATAATCATGATGATGATGATGATAGATAGATGATAGATAGATAGATAGATAGATAGATAGATAGATAGATAGATAGATAGATAGATAGATAGATAGATGGGTCATTTCCTGCAGGAGCGTACAGGAGCGGAGCTCTGGCAGTAAAGAGCCCAGGGGGGCGGGCACATGCAACAAGCCCCGCCCCCTGCTCCCAGCAGCCCTCAGTCAGAGCAAGAAGCAGCCAGGTAAGCTGCAGAGCCCCCCCGGCACCCTAGTCCAAAGCAGTCCAGTGGCACCTTTAAGACCAAGGTTTATTCAGGTATAAGCTCTCCCTCCTCTGCGAGGGCAGATCTCCATGTGTCCCCCCGTCCCCCCCCCGATAGCTAGCCATCCAAAACAGTCCAGTGGAGCCTGGGCGGTGGGTGTTGCCTTCTGACACACTTCCAGTGATGTCCGGGGGTGTGGCATATGCAGATACGTTATGCTAATGAGTTATGCTAATGAGCTCCTGCACCTCTTTTTCTACGAAATGACCCCTGGATAGATAGATAGATAGATAGATAGATATTTCATTAGACTGACACTAGGAAGAGGAAGGGAGGCGGAGTTTGTGGGGCTGAGGGTTCTCCTGGCTTGTTGAAATGTGCCAAAATGACAGACATGGATGAGTCGGTAATGTAGGGTTGCCAACCCCCCAGGTGTGACCTGGACATCTCCCAGAATTGTAACTGATCTCTAGTTGACAGAGGTCAGTTCCCCTGGAGAAAAATGGCTCCTTTGGAGGGTGGGGGTGGTGGAATCTATGCCATTATAACCTGTTGACGTTCCTTCACTCCCCAAGCCCTGCCCTCCCAACGCTCCACTCCCAGATCTCCAGACGCTTCTCAACCCCGAGTTGGCGACCCTATTCAGTAGCCCATTCAAACTTTGAGGGACTATGACCCAAAATTGTTCTTATTGAATATATTACCAGGAAATCGTAAAAAGCAAGACAGTGACAACAGCAAAAATATGGTATGCTAAATATCAAAGAAGAGATGAGGTACCATCTAGAGAAGAAACCGTAAATAAATTGCTTGCGACTGCAGAAATGGATAAATGAGCGTTATCGTTGAGTGGACAAACTGAAGCAAGCTTTGGAGATACACAGTCAAGATTTTACAAATGGGCTGAAGACTGCAACAAATAAAATATATTGACACGCAACCAACGTAGAAGGAACAAGAACTCTATCTTTAG